ACCGGTACAGTCCTGCTGACCGTCCCAGGACAATTCATGTCAGACTTCCTTCAGGCGCTGGGTGCAGAGGAGAATGCCTACGGGGTAGGTGGGAAGGATGCCCTGCACACACGAGGGGCTGACGCTGTGGGATGAGGATGCATCTGGGTGGTAATCCTGGTATCTCTGGAGCAAAACATCTCACCTGGAACAACACCGCAGTGGTGTATCACCCCTTGCAGTGGAATAAACCAAAAATATTTCTTCCGAACGTGATAAACCTGGGTCAGCACAGCCCTGCCACAGTCAGAGCTGTGCTGACCCTTAGGGAGCACGGGTGGGGTTACAGCCGGAGGAAGGACGGTGCCCAGCCCTGGGGTCCTCACCCTTCTGCTCCTCTTTGCTTCTTTTGCAGTTTGTCGTCAACTGCAGCAGCGTCTCAAGCATGCCCTACCTCTACTTTGCCATCAGTGGAACACAGTTATCGCTGCCTCCCTCTGTCTATGTCTTAAACGTAGGTGTGATTTTATCATTCCCAACACGGGTTTGCCATCCTAGGGCAGTTTTACCCAGGAGAAAGTCAGAGTTTCTTTTCAAATGCAGAGGCTTCCAGCAGCCTGAGTGCCATATTTCCCAGCACCCGATTTTACGGTGCTTTTGCATGCCTGTATGTGACTGTAAGGAGGGTCTAATCCTGCTCCCAGCCAAAGCAGCCATGAAGGCACGGACAGCACAAATCCCCCACACTCCTCGCTGGCACTGAAATTTGCTCCTTTTCCCCCAACAGAACGATGGCATCTGCACCGTTGCAGTCGAGAGCACGTACGTGTCCTCCTCCAGCGGCCAGCCACTCTGGATCCTCGGCAACATCTTCCTCCGGCAGTACTACTCCATCTTCGACATGGCTAACAACAGAGTTGGCTTTGCCCTGTCAGCCTAGGGATGCTGAGCATCGCCCGTGCCATAATTTGTCCCTGCAACACCTTATCCTCCCTTGGACCTGCGGATGGTGATGAGCAGTCTCCGAATGTCCTGTAGTGAATAAAGGGCCACAAATCTAACTGCCTTGTGTTGCATCTGGCTGCGGCTGAGCAGGATCCGGCACAGCCCTTCTCAATAAAACAACAAAGTCTGAGTTCATGCTCAAGGTTTCCAGCGGCTGCCTGGGCTTTCAGACGTGCACGGAGCCTTTGAATTTGCAGCAATGACAAACTTGGGGTCACCTTTTTGATTGGGACATGGTTCCCTGATGGCACTGGCTGGGAAACTGGGATGACCGGGAGAAATTCAGGCTGCATGGTGTGCTCAGCTGCAGCTCGGAGACCCCAGGGCTGAGCCGGTGTGGTCGCTGGAGGCTTCAGAAACCAGTTTGGAGCAGGATGTGCCAAGACAAGGAGCTGCGTGTGAACAGCTCTTGGTTCATTAGGTTTGGGGGAACTGCCCACACGTATTTGCAAATAAATTAGGGATTAAAAAAAAAGTGTCATGCAAGGACACTTAAGCTGATGAAAATGCCTTGGTTTTGTTCTGGAGGCGTAAATCCCTTCATTGCTGCAGCCCTGAAGGATGGGCAATGAGAAGGAAGGGGGTGGCGTGCCTGCGACACGGATGTGACCAAAGCTTCAAAGCTTGGGGTGTCTGGATCCCCCCCAAGAGGAGCTGCTGGATGCAGTGTTAGACAGATCAGGCCAGGTGTCCAGACTGGACCCAAAGGGCTGGTCCTCGAGGTCCAGCACAGGGCGATGCACGGGAGATGCAGCGCTGAAGGGCCCGTCGCCCGTTGTCTGACACCCATCTCTCGGTCAGATGACAGTCACCCCGCTGGGGCATGTGACCGCCCATTAAATCTGCTGTTTCCAGCTAAATCTGCCACGGCGGGACCCGTGGAGCGGGCACCCCCCGCCACGGATAGAGAAACCCCGTCCTGCTGCCACGGGCAGCCCGGTGGCAGGGTCCCACGGTGCCCTGGGGGACTCGGGGTGCAACGGGGCTTGCTGCCTCCAGCTGGGCAGGGTCCCCACCGCTCCCTCCCACTGCAGCCCCCCATCCCTGGAGGGTTCACCTTGCGCTAAAACCTCCGCACTCCCTGCACAGCTTCCCCCGGCACCTGGCAGACCCCGAGGGTCCCATCCGGAGGGGCCCAAACACCCCCCTTGAGCAGGCACACGCTGCTCCTGCTCCCCACCACCCTGCAGGTCTCCAGGTCACTGCTAACCCTCCACGGCCACCACGAGCCTCCAGCATCAGTGCAAGGAGC